TTTAGTAGAGACGGGGTTTCACCATGTTGACCAGGATGGTCTCGATCTCTTGATCTCGTGATCCACCCACCTCGGCCTCCCAAAGTGCTGGGATTACAGGCTTGAGCCACCGCGCCCGGCAATTTAACCACTTTTTACATTAGAAATTTTAAACATTTTTCTAGCAAAGTAAATAATACTACCTAGATTTATGCTGAAAATTTTTAGATGTCAACATAAATGTGCAAGGAGATATTTTTTCAAAATCCATTTTGAAAAATAGAATCTTTAATATCATCACTTCAAAAAGTTAAAAATGTTTGATGTTTTACCCTCTCCTCACTCAAATTAGAGACACAGATATAAGGAGACAAATACACACCGCCAATATTTTCACCAAAAGCCACTACCGGAAAAGAAAGCTCAATCTAATATTGGAAAAATAACAGAATGAAAAGGTATACCTTCCAAAAAGATACAGGGTTGCTTGAGAAACAAACAAAAACAAGCAGTTTGTTTTTGTTTCATTTAAGAATGTTAGTGTTAAATATAAAAGAAATAATCATACATTATTTTTGTTTCATTTAAAAAAATGATTAAACAAATCCATACTGAACATAGAAAATAGATTTCTGGAGAGTGACATAACTGTACTGATTTTCTAGGAGTGAAACATCTCAATCAAATTCAAATAAATTAAATCAGAGCATTAAAATGTGAAGAAGCTGATAAGCTTTAGAGAAGGGAGATGCTTAAAGCCTATTAAACAGAGGCAGAAGTATAGACTGGTAGGAATAATGCCACTGGTTCACTATTAGTAGAAGCCAGCAATGTTTGAGACTGAAAGCTCTTGCTTGCCTCTTGTCTTAGTTCACTGCTAACGCCTTTACCTAGCATGACCTCTCAAGGCCAATCTCTCAGGCTCTTCTTTCGAGATGCCAAATGTCACATTCCCCACTAATAATAAACAATAAAACATTTTATTCTAAATACTTTTTTTAAAAGTTATCTCGATATTGTAGGAAATCACAAACCACCAGCATAAAACGAAAGACTAAGTATTGTGAAATCAGACCCTAGAACAGATCACTCAAAGAGCTATTTAGCTAGAAGAAATGAGTAGTCCTTAATCTTTATATATTATATTTCTGATACAAGTTTCCATGTTATACCACTATTTCTTATGTGTCAGAATTTTCCAAGGCAGGTTAAACAATCTGGGAAAAACCTAAGTGTATCATGTCTCATGATGTTCTTTCTGACTTTTTTCCTAGTATAGAGTATTTCTGCTATGGTTACTTTGATAAAAACATTCACCGTAAAGCATAATTGAAAGCAATCTCCATGGAAAATGACATACGCTAAAAAAAGTAACGACAAAGCAGAACTAGCATAAATGTATGTGAACATGTATATGCATGCATACATGTGTGAGCTGATAAATAACTATCTAGTATCTATAGATATTAGATATAAATTGATAGATGTTATATATTATATAGCTAACAGATCTCTATTATATGTTACATATTAGAGATAATTTAAAGACAAATATATCTAATAGAGATATAATAGATCTAATCTATATTATATATTATATAGTCATAATGTTAGATATATAAATATATTATTAAATATATAGATATTAGATAGGTACCTGCTATCTATATTTGTCAATCTAAACTAGACTTTCTGGCTAGGCATGGTGGCTCAAGTGTCTAATCCCAGAGGGAGACCAAAGATCGCTTCAGAGCAGGAGTTTGAGACCAGCCTGGGTAACATAATGAGACGTTATCTCTACCAAAAAACTCCACGAAAAACCCAAACCAGGTGTGACGGCCAATACCCGTAGTCCCCGCTACTTAAGAGAGGCTAAGGTGGGCTGATCCTTTGAGCCCAGAAGTTCAGGGCTGTAGTAAGCTATGATTGCACCACTGCACTCCAGCCTGAGCGACAGAGCAAGATCTTGTCTCAAAAATAAATAAATACATAAACTGGACTTTCTAAAAATTTAAAGACAAAATATATTACAGTGCTCCTAAAAGTTCTTATCAATTATTTTGTTCTCTCACCTGTAACTCATTCACCAGTTATTTCTGTGCCTATATTTTGAAAATCACTTTGGAAATAGTGATTTAAAGAAAGACTTCTTTTAATGAAACCCACTGGTATAGTGGTAGTTCCCAAACATGAAAATACTTGGGCTTTGAACTTAGACAAATACATTTAAGAACAAGTTTTTCTCTTTTAGTTAAATAACAAAAAGAAAACGAGAAACTTAGGCAGCATGTATGCCTCATTTATTTAAGTGTGTATATGTTTGTGGAGATAAAGGGGGCCAAATTTCCTAAATGCATTAGGCAGCTGGATAGTATTTAGAAGCCATGAGAAAAAAAAGAGTAAGATTTGTAATATATCCCTAGCTTCAACTGCATTTCACAAATACACCTATGCATGTGTATATAAGACATTCACTCTCATACTTTTATAATTCATTAGAAAAAAATATATTTTCTAAATGTAAGCAAGATGTTTTCCATTCTGTAGTAAAAACTAATAAATACTGCAATTTGAGGCAAACTAGCAGGATATCAAGTATAATTTGTATACACATACTGGTGACAATCATTATTCAATAACTGTTACTGATAGGAAAAAGATTCATCTTTTCTTAAGAGTAGTCTAAAAACCCTTTAAACCTTTAACTGTTATCATTTTGTATCCCATCAATTTATATATGGACATCAGAGTTGCAAACATTACCTCCATAGCCTGGGCTAAGCGTTCTTCTAGTGCCATGTAGGTAAGGAACTGAGGATCCACATATGAAATAGCTTCAGCAACTCCTAGTCCATCTGCAAAGCCATCAAATAGGCTGGAAAAAAAAAAAAAGAACAGAAAAACAAAACTCACAACTATGATTCAGGAAATCTTATGCTGAGGACATAATTATATTAGCATACTGGCAAGCCAATAAGCATGCTGTGAACATAAAACCTTAAAATATTTTAGTGTCAACTTATAGGGTTAGGGGCAAGAGGAACCCAGAGAAAAGTGAGATGCTAAAGATGAGTAGTTAAGATACCACTACCTCTTCCAACAGGCTGCCACACTCAATGCACAAAGTTTGTAGAAAAATTCTCCTTTGTGTTTCTAGCTCTAACTCTAGAGACTCCTTAAAGGTACAGGTTGAACATCTCAAATCTGAAAATCTGAAATCCAAAATGTGCCACTGAGTATTTTCTTTGTATGTCATACTGGCACTCAAAAAGTTTCAGATTTTGAACCATTGATTTTGAATTTTCAAATTTGGGATGCTCAACTAAAAGTATATGCAAATATTCCAAAATCCAGGAAAAAAATCCCAAATCCCAAACACTTCTGGTATCAAACATTTCGGTTGAGGGATACAGTACTTTTTCCCACCCTGTTATTTCCCACATATTTCTTCTGTTTTTCAGTTTCCAATCTGCATGTAGGTGAGACTATGACAAAGGAAATAACTACAATTATTTTAATTCTATCATTACTCACAGCCTCTTTTTTCTTCTCTCATTTTGTATTGCTTAATAACTCTGGATTTTAAAATATTTTATTATTTCAAGCCTTTCTCATTAATCTCTCCCTCCTCTTCTAAGATTAGGCCACCTCCATTATGATACAGCTTGAAAAGTATCTAGCTCCCAACTGTTCATTTTTATTACAATTTTTTCTAAAAAACTGTTAAGCTCCTAGAAGAAAAACATGTCTCACTTTGGTCCTACTCTCCTTCCTCCATCCCTGGACATACTGACAGTCCTCCTTTTCCTCTAGTCTTGGAAATACTAAGTATTTCAAAATTTGAAAGCTGAAAGTATGTCCTTGGTCCTATTCTCTCTAATCTTGCTCCATTGGAAATTATTTATATATTCAAACGCATTTTCTTCAATTATCCTTTCTGTAGGTAATTCCTAAATCTCTACCTAATTCCTAAACTCCCCCTGAAGCTCTTGACCTACATTTCTAGCTGTCTGAGGGGCACTTTTAGTAGATGTACTCCTACCACCTCTGAAGTCCAAGAGATGCAAAACTGAGCTTATTTTGTCTAAAGACAAACTTGCTGACTTCCACATCCTACCAGAATTTGAATATCAAAGTCCTAAACATCCACAATTAAACAACTTAGCTCAAAAATAATTTTGATGTCGACCCATGTGCCATAATTAAAATTACAAATCTACTGCTGAGAGACACAGAAATGGTTCTTAAAAAGAGTATGTTATAGGCTGGTCCCAGTGCAGTGGTGTTTATAACTAATTGACCACAACCAGTTATAGATTTCTTTGTTGCTTCTTCACTCCCACTGCTTTACTTGACTAGCCTTAAAAAACATAGTATGTTATAGTTTAGCAGTATCTGGAAATCAAGTAGCACATGATACAAAGCAACAGACATACTCACAGAATCACAGGTTTTGGAAATGATATTAAGAATTACTGAATCCATCCCACCCTTGAAATACTGAATCTTCCTCATCTAGCCATAAAATGTAGTACAAAGAGGAAGAGCCCTGAAATCAGTAAGACATGGATTTAGCTGAATTGTGCAACTGACTCTTCCTTCATCTATAAAACAAATTACATGAGTAGATGCACAAGGTTGCCTGGCACAGAGATGGTACCATAGCAGACATTCAAGAAACAGAGAAACATTCCCCCCATGCAGAAAATACACTGCTTTCTAAGGTGGTATGTGCCAGTGTGGGAGAGTACCACTAGAAGTTAAAAACATATGAAGTACTTAAGTATTCCTACTTGTAACTTTTGCCCTGTTGCTGTAATTCTGCCTGCTGAAGCAACATAAATTGTGTCTTCCTACTCTTTGCAAAACAAAAAACAAAAACAAAACAAAAAAAACCCTTCAAATGACTGAAAACAACTCTCTCTCAATAATTCTTTGCTAAGCAAATCTAGATATTCAAAGCATAATATCCAGTTGTGATTTGGCCACTACAAATAATCAGTCAAAAATTCTAATATCATGTACTTGGCAGTCACCATGATAATAATTGTTTCAGGCTGGGTGTGGTGGCTATAATCCTAGCACTTTGGGAGGCCGAACTGGGCGGATCACTTTGAGCTCAGGAGTTCAAGACTAGCCTGGGTAACATGGTGGAACCCTGTATCTACAAAAAATACAAAAATTAGCCAGGCATTGGTGGCTCATGCCTGTAGTCCCAGCTACATGGGAGGCTGAAGCTGGACAATCACTTGAGCCTGGGAAGCAGAGGGTGCAGTGTGTCAAGATTGCACCACTGCACTCCAGTTTAGGCGACAGAATGACACTCATCTCAAAAAAACAAAAAACAAAAATGGTTTCGGAAAAGAACCACTAATAGATGCTAAAACTAGTGGATGGAAGTTTGATAGTTTAAGAAGAAACAGGTTATTTACAGTCTCAAAGTATCTTCACGTGAGAAGCCTATTGATTACAGCGGATCCTTGAACAACAGGGGCTTGAGCTGGGTGAGTGGGTACCCTTAAACTCAAGTTTTTCTTCCACCTCTGCGATAGCAAGACCAATCCCTCTTCTTCCTCTTCAGCTTACTACTCAACATGAAGACAGCAAGAATGAAGACCTTTATGATGATCTACTTCCACTTAATGAAGAGTAAACATATTTTCTTTTATGATTTTTTTTAGCATTTTCTTTTCTCTAGCTTGCTTTATTACAAGAATATAGTATATAATACATATCAGGTACAAAAATATGTGTCAATCAACTGTTTATGTTATCAGTAAGGCTTCTGGTCAACAGCAGACTATCAGTAGTTAGGCTTATGGAGAGTCAAAAGTTATGCTTGGATTTTCTACTGCACAGGGATCAGCATCCCTAAAGCCTGTGTTGTTCAAGGCTCAGCTGTATAAAAGGATAAATGACAAATGTAAAAAAATCTGAAAGATAACACCACAATCAAATCAGATTTTATATCACCAGTAATGGGTTGATTTGATATCATGTGTTTTCTGATATGTACTGCAAAGGATAAAACATCACTTCTGGATGTTTCTGCTAAAAATTCACAACTCAAATTTACAGACAAATACATCCTAAGGGACATTCTAAAAAATAAATGACCTGTACTTTTAAAAAATTTCAGGGTTATGAAAAACAAAGACTGAGGAAATGTCCGCATTAAAAGAGACTAAAGAACCTTGCTACCTAAATACAATGAAAGATCTAATACAAAGATTAGAACAGATCTAATAGCACTGGTAGAACAACTATGAACATCTGACTAAGGTCTGTAGATTAGATAATATTGTACTGGCATTAATTTGCTGACTTTGACAATTTTACTGTGTTATATAAGAAAATGGTCTTGGATGTAGGAAATTCATTCTAGAATATTTACAGGTAAAGGGACATCATGCCTGCAACTTACTCATAAGTGGGTCAGAAAAAGACCTTACTATAAGTATAGAGAAAGGAAGGAAAGAATGGTAACACAAATGTGGTTTTAAAACGTCAGCATGCAGGAAATCTTAGTGACGGATATATGTGGATTCTTGTACTATTTTTTGCCACTTTTCTGAAACTCTAGAATTATATCAAAACTATTTAAAAACTCTATTAAGACACAGTTATATCAACACAGAATTAACTTCCACATCTTACTAGGTTAATAGTAATAACTCTAATTTCTTATAGGAAGACAGAGAAGTTAAGGAGTTATCAAAGAATAAATAAATGGTACAGTTGGGATTTGTCTGTATCTAAAATCATGATTTCTCTGTGTTGCTTCCTACCACATCAAGCTATCAGATACTCTTAAGTATTTTGAACACTAACACAACTTCAATACAAACAAGTAAACAAAGAAACTTCATAGAGGACTTCTTCCATTTTCCTTTAAACTAAATTAAGGAAACAAAAGGCCACTGCACTTTTTTTCCAAAGCAGTGGCAAAACAAAAAGTGTGTTAAAGTATGACTTTAGAGGCAACAACTGCTGCTCTTTGCCATGGCTTTCCTTTTAGCTGTCAAGGTAGCATGCTATTTTAATATAGAAATGAAACTAAATTTTCACCTTATCAACTTTTAGACACTGCCACATAAATTAGTATAGTACCACATAAGCAAATACTGGGGTGTTGACATAGAGCAACCTTCAAAATTTGTGGTTTAAAATTAATGCTAAAATGTTTTCTATAATAAAAAAAAAAAGTACTTTGAGGCTCTGCATATTTTGGGACCACTAGTAAGATTTCTAAAACCTTAACATAACATCCATATCTACAAAGCTCATCAATGAATTAGAACCTAAAGTAATAGTTTCTCAAATTTAAGTTCAAATTATATTCAGTGGCCAGGCATGGTGGCTCACACCTTTGGGAGGCTGAGGTGGGCAGATCACTTGAGATCAGGAGTTTGAGACCAGCCTGGCCAACAGAGTGAAACCCCTTCTGTACTGAAAATACAAAAATTGGCCAGGCGTGGTGGCAGGTGCCTGTAATCCCAGCTATTCGGGAGGCTGAGGCAGGAGAATTACTTGAACCTGGGAGGCTGAGGTTGCAGTGAGCTGAGACTGCACCACTGCACTCCAGCCTGGGCAACAGAACAAGACTCCAGTGTCTCAAAACAAACAAACAGAAAAACAAAAAAACCCACAAAAACAAATTATATTCAGTAAAGATTTCCATTATTCCTTCAAATATTTAGGTGGAACAACCTTCTTTTTGGAAGTTATTTGGAAACGTGTATCCATACCTTGAAAAATACCACATATCTCAGTAATATCACCTCCAATTATTTGTCCTAAAGGAGTAACCAGAAGTACAGAACAAGTTTTATGGAGGATGGGAAAGAAAAAGTTCACTGCACTATTTCAATGAGTCAACAATCTGTTAAATCTTAGTGCCCCTATAGGAAGGATCATCTTCATAATGGAGCTGTAAAAAAACATTTTTAGAGTCTTGAAAATGTAGAACAGAAAAAATTCCTTCACATGAAACCATAATTGCCTCCCAACATGCATAGATGATGCTAAACAGATGATTCTTTCATCTGCTGAACACTTTGAGGAATTACTTTGCATAATGGAGAGAGAAGACTTTCAAATTAATAAGGAGTGCAACAGGAAGGAAATGGGGAGACAGCGAGGAAATGAGAGAAGCATCAAGATCAGCAATACTGGGACTAGGTAAATCCACTTATTCCCCATAATGTATGGGAAGCCAGAAAATGTGTTTTAGAGTGCGAGAATTTTTAAGGTAGAATTACAAATTGCATAGCTGTAATGAAATCCCATTTCTACTTCCACAAAATGGTGATGAAGTCTGTTCTCCACACATTTTCCCCCTCTAGGGAGTAAGAATAGGAAAGGGCAAGAAAGATCTCAAGAAGATGTTCAGTTTCCCATCTGGAACAATTTGGAGAAGTAGCTAGCACACACAGAAAGAGAAACTAAAGATACAAAGGAGGCCTTAAAACATGTGTTCTAGGCCAGGCACAATGGCTCACACCTGTAATGCCAGCACTTTGGGAGGCCGAGGCGGGTGGATCACAAGGTCAGGAGTTCAAGACCAGCTTGGCCAATCTGGTGAAATCCGTCTCTACTAAAAATAGAAAAAAATTAGCCAGGCGTCGTGGCAGGCACCTGTAGGCTGAGGTAGGCGAATGGCTTGAACCTGGGACGGCGGTTGCAACGAGCTGAGACCACGCCACTGTACTCCAGCCTCGGCAACAGAGCGAGACTCCGGCTCAGAACAAAAAAACAAACAAACAAAAAACCCAACCAACCAACAAACAAAAAACACATGTTCTGGAAACCTGAAGAGATATCAGTCTACCAAGATACCTTTTTTGTCCCAGAAAAAGTAACAAAAGGGATCAGTTAGGACATCCTTTCTACATCTCAATAGTTACTTGCTTTCATTGTGCTACTGTACACTTTAAAGATACTATAAACCAAAACAGTTAAATTCTGAGCATTATATCATAAGTAACAACTCTACAATACACTTCACTTATATGTTACTTTCATTTGAAGCTCACTATTGTTTGTCAAGCATAAAGTAAATTAAATGCTTTCAACATCTCTAGGAAAGTAAAATTTTATTGTCCATATTTTACACACAGAAGGAAAAGGGAGAATAGGGAAGAAAAACTATTCTTATGATTTTCTGATTCAACCACAGGTTTTAAAATTCAAGTAGTATTCATTAAGAAGCTGTTTTTTAAAGAATTTGCAAGTGCTACAGGGCACATAAAGGGAAATTTTAAAAGTCAGAAATCCAAAATTCAAAAAATGTATATAAATAACTAGGATAGGTGAGCTTCAAGAGAGCTAAATGTCAAAGTAAGAGGTCACTGACTGGAGGAAGCAGGAAAGGGTCCAAGTAGGAAGTAACATTTGAAATGAGCTTTGAAGAAGAGGACTAACAGATGGGAAAATGAGAACATTTCTTAGCTAGCAGAGATTTAATTTTCATAATTTAGAATCATGAACTCATTCTACTCAAGGAAGCTAATTAAGCATGCTGATAACATTGTGCTACATACCTCCAATCCACATCTAAGTCTTCACTCACGCTGGAGTCATCCTCCAGGTTATTGTTACCATCCAACATGAAAGCTGGCTGTGCAAATTCATTGGCAGGTTCATTTCCCTCATCACTGCTGCTTTCATTGACTTCATTGTACTGTAACCAAGGAATTTCTCCCTCCTCCAAGGATGTCTGTTCCCTAGTACAAACATTTTAAAAGAAGGAAAAAAAATACTGTTTTTAAACATACCATAACACTGTCTTTAATTCTATTCCATGCAAGTGGACTCTGTTGAGTTCTAAGTTCTTGGTACTTTTATGATTCTAAAACACTGTCTTTCTTAACTGCAGAATTATGTAAAAAAGAAAGAAATCAGTTTTAGGGTCATATGTATACAGAAATAGTTCCTAATTACCCAGAAACACATTTATTGGATTTACAAATTATCTATGCTGTTTTCTCCTTCTGTAAAAGGAGAAACATAAGAAAAATCCATCCCCAACGATTTGAATTTTAAAACACTGCTCTTGAGTACTTTCCCTTCACAGTTAAAATAAAATCTGAATTCCTTAACCTGGCCTACAAATCCCTAAATAACACATGCTTTCTGCTCAGCCCACTTCTCCAATGGCATCTCTCAGCACTCTTCCCCCAGCTACTATACTCCTACTCTTCTTTCTACTTTTGTAACACATGGAGATCATCTCTACCTTGGGGCCATTTCCTCTACCTAAGATGTTCTTTCACTGGATTTTTACCTTGCTACTTCCTTCTTGATGTTCACGTCAGATTATAAGTCACCTCCTCAGGGGGGACTGTCTTGAACATTCAGTTTAAGTAACTCTCCAGTTGCTGATTACCACATAGCTCTGCTTATTTAAATTATAAAATTTATTTTTGCTCAACATTTTCTTATTTGTTTACTGTCAGTCTATTCCTACTAGAATCTAACTACACAGAAACAGAGACATACAAATCAATGATACAAATCAAGAAAATAAGGAGGATATAAAGGAAGCATTTCAAAACAGGAAGTAAAAAAAAGGACTCATTAGGCTGGGTGTGCTGGCTCATGCCTGTAATCTCAGCACTTTGGGAGGCCAAGGTAGGCGGATCACTTAAGGCCAGGAGTTCGAGACCAGCCTGGACAACATAGTGAAACCCTTTCTCTACTAAATGTACAAAAAATTAGCTGGGTGCACACCTGTAACTCCAGCTACTCAGGAAGCTGAGGCATGAGAATCGCTTGAAATTGAGAGGCAGAGGTTTCAGTGAGCTGAGATCACGCCACTGCACTCCAGCCTAGGCAACAGAGCAAGACTCTGTCTCAGAAACCAAAACAAAAAAGGGCCTCATCAACAAATGATATTGGGACAACTGGGTATTCACCTGGAGGGAAGGAGGTTAAATCCCTTAAAGTTTCGCTATACTTTTTTAAAGTACATGTGCATGTGTACCCCCACTCTCACTTAAAAAATGAATACTAGAAGAATCATGAAAGAAAACTGTACAAAAATTTCCGTGTCATTCTAAGCATGATATAAAACCCTGAAGTCACAAACAGAATCATAAATTCTACAACATTCACATTAAAGAAGATACGGAAAAGTCAAAACACCAAAAATCTGGACACAAAACTCAAATTAAGAAAAGTAAACTATAATACAAGGGAGACAAAGGGCTTTTCCTGAATAAATAGAAGCTTAAAATATAAAACCAAACTGTAAGAAAAAGATTAAAATATATCAACAGAAAGGGGCAAAGAATATAATTAGTTAGCAGAAAAGGAAACTCAAATAGCCATTAAATATATAGAGATACTCAGCCTCATTTATAATAAGCAAAATGTAAATTAAAACAACAGTGAAATATGTTTCAACTATTAGCTAAAATAAAAAAAATTGTTAGTACCCTATGTGTTGGTGAAGCTTTGAAGAAAGGCAATTCATATACTGTTGGTAAGAAAGTAACTAATTTAAGCTCTCTGTAGAGAAACTTGGCAATACCTATAGATTAAGTTTGTGCATACTCACTGACCTAGTGGTTCTGCTGCCAGTTATTTCTCCTAAACAAATATGCAGAATTTTCTTTTTCAGTACTACTTACAGTAGCCAAAACTGTCCACCAAATGAAATTGGAACACCCAGGTAGTAATACACAGTAAGTTCTCACTTAACTTTATAGACAGCTTCTTAGAAACTGTGACTTTAAGCAAAACAAGGTAGAACTATGCGGATTTTTAAAAAGAATAAAGGAAATCTATATGTATGAATATGGAACAATCTAAAAAACAGACCTATAAACAAAACAAATAACAAAGGCAAGGTGTATACATATATCTATACAATGTGTTACCAGCTGTATAAAAAAATGAAATGGAATGTGTACACATATATGCTTTTATATGTACAGAAGATCTTTATAAGTTCAAAAAGGAAGCTGGTTATAATGATTTTTAATTGGTCTTTCCATACTGTCTAAATCCACTTTTTATTGTGTATAAGTCCTTATTTTTAAAACAATTGTAACTTCATCTGTTTATCAACAGAAGTTCAACCAGAAATAGCTACCCAAGCAATAAACTGTTAGGAATTCATTAAATATTTCCAAAGCATAAGCTTGTATCATTAAAAGGTAAATTTGTATTCACTCTTACTGGTATTTCAGAAACTATCCCTTTAATTATGCAAAGTAACAATAGTGAAAAGAACTGTTTTAGTTACATGAGTCACGTGACCAATTATTAAGGAGTCACACAGTTGTTTGTGTATTTAGCCTACAGATAGCTAAAACTAACAGATATTTAGTGGACATTTAACAAATGTTAAAACCTTGAAGGTTTTTTTAAATTTCAACCAAAGTAGACGTTCTTTTCTCCCTTTGGTCAAAGCTTTATTGGTATTATCTGGACAACTCAAGCTTTTGAAAATGTACTAATTTATTCCCATTTTTTATTCTTTCTGCTCCATCCCAGATATTAGGAGTTTATTCCTGCTGGATTTAATTAGGTTGTCATAATTATGCAATTGACATTCGGTGTACTACATCATTCTGAATGCAAAATATATTAATTGGAAAGAGACTTGTGGATCTACACACATCATGATAATACAAAAACTACCATACTAAATTAATAGTCTGAATCACTGCTAGAAAATAAAATCTAGGTTAGAGAAAATACGTATGTAATCATAGATTCATCAAAACAAAGCCGCTAGCTCAAAGAGCAAGTCTAAGGAAGAAAAATGTGAGAATAAAACCGTAACTTGGCCAGATGCAGTGGCTCACGCCTGTAATCCCAGCACTATGGGAAGCTGAGGTGGGTGGATCACCTGAGGTCAGGAAATCGAGACCATCCTGACCAACATGGTGAAACCCCATCTCAACTAAAAATACAAAAATTGGCTGGGCGTGGTGGCATGTCCCTGTAATCCCAGCTACTCGGGATGCTGAGGCAGAATTGCTTGAACCAGGGAGTTGGAGGTTGCAGTGAGCTGAGATGGCGCCACTACATTTCAGCCTGGCGACAGAGTGAGACACTGTCTCAAAAAAAGAAAAAAACATAATTTGGCACTACAGTAGTGTAAAAGACTAATTTTGAAAAACTGGACTTCTTAAATTACCAACATTCAGTATCTCTGCTCTTGCTTTCTCTTGTGCCTAGGAAGTTCTTTCTGAATCCGAATTCTCATCTTTAAGAACTCAGCTCAAAAGTCAATTCCAAAGAGACATCCTCCCTGACCATTCTAATTAATATGTCTTCATCATGTACCTTCTTTCCCATTATTGTTTTATTCCCTTCACAGTAAACATCACAGTGTGTAATTTACTGGGTTTCTATCTTGGTTATCATCTGCCTTTTCTACTACAATATAAGTTTCATGAAGGAATGTTATTTGTCTTGTTTACTGCTATAACTCCAAGGTCCAACACAATGCCTGGCACAAATTAAATGACCAATAAATATTTGCTGAGTGAATAATTACTAACAAATGACATATGAATAATTAATACTTAGTAAACTAAACTAACAGTGATTAAAAGCAATTAAATATAAAATCAAGAGGCTGGGCACAGTGGCTCACGCATGTAATCCCAGCACTTTGGGAGGCAGAGGCAGGCAGATCACCTGAGGTTAGGAGTTCAAGACCAGCCTAGCCAATGTGGTAAAACCCCATCTCTACTAAAAATACAAAAATTAGCCAGGCATGGTGGTGGGCACCTGTAGTCCCAGCTACTTGGGAGGCTGAGGCAGGAGAATCACTTGAAAGTGAAAGGCAGAGGCTGCAGTGAGCCAAGATTGTGTCACTGCACTCCAGCCTGGGCAACAGAGACTGAGACTCAGTCTCAAATAAACACACACAAAAAACACACACATGTATGTATATATATATTTTATATATATAAATATGTATTTATTTTTAATACAAAACAGACTATTTTTAATACTAAAAAATATATTTATTTTTTAAAAAATGTAACACCATATATTTATTTTTTAAAAAACAGACTATTTTTAATACCAAAAAATATATAAATTACATATATATTTTGTATGTATATTTTTATATATACATTTATATGTACACATATGTGTGTGTGTATACATAATATATGTCATGAAGAGGAAAAAAATGCCAGTTCAACCTACCACTGTCATAATCAATATGTTTGTGAATTTACTTCTTTATAGATTTCTCTACATATTTGCCTTCTAGATTTTCTTACAGTGTTAATCAATCTCAAGCTGAAAATGTATATACTTGGAGGATACAAGTTTTAATATTAGTCTAGATTGGAATAGTTCTTTTCCTAAAAAACCATAATTTACCAAAACGGTTCCCAGAGACTAAGAATTAGAACCAATTATCATAGAAAAAAATTTAAATTATCAAAAAGATATTCTCCTACAATAAAACAAGAGGCCTAAATGGTTTCACAAGTGAATACTAACAAACTTTAAAAGAATAAAAAAGCTATTTAAGCAACAGATGCAAAGAACAGAAAAAGAAAAAGGAAAGCATATACATTCTTTTAGCAAAGCAAGCACCAAACTGATATTGAAACAAAAAACTAAAAGGTAATTTGCATTTGGGAATCTCAATATAAAAATCTCATGTAAAATATTATAATCTAGAAGCCCATTAAAATACATTAAACCATGATTGTGATCATATTTGGTTTATTTCAAGGAGCAAGGGAAGTTGAATATTAGCAAATCTAGTTATAGAACAATTCCTCAGGATCAGGGCAAAAGTGAAAAATCATTATGATCATTTCCACTGATGCTGAAAAGACCTTAAAAAAATTCAACAAACTTTCTTGCTAGAAACCCATAAAATAATAAAAGGTTGGAAGACAGCTATACCCATTCATTTACATCTTGTCTATGGCTACTTTTATACTGCAACAGTACAGGTAAGTAGCTGCAACACAAACTGGACACAAAGCCAAAAATATTTATTATCTAACTCTTCATAGTATGTTTGACAACCCTTAAAGTATTAGAGCCTTCCCATTAAAATTAGGAAAGAACCAAAATGATTATCATCAATCATTGATATTTTGGAGATATCATCCAATGCAATTAGACAAGAATACGAACACTAGCTCTTACAGCTGTCTCCATTTCTGTGAATTAATCACTAATTTCCCTCTTGAGGCTATCCTTTCTTCCTTGAGCAATGACAGTTAAGTTAGGAATCACCCATTAAGTTAGGAATGGGTGATTCCTAACTTAACCAAAATGACATTTTAGGTACCCAACTTTTCTTATTAAAGCAAAGTGGAGACACATATTCTATCTCAACAGAGGATACTGAAGTTATCAGTATTTTCAACTTAACTGTTCTTTTTATAATACCAAAAGCATAACGAAAAAATCAGGGGGGCCTACTGGTTCTACGTAAGGCTTATAAAATCCAATTAATAGCACATCCAACATTTGAATGTGATAGATACCATTCTTGTACAATATACAGAAAAATAAATCTTACTGTTAAACATACCCTTCCTGAAGAGATAATTCTTGGTTTTCTTCTTCAGGGCCACTGCTATCACTGTGTAGCTCAGGTTCATTCTCATCTTTTCCTGGCAGAGTCTCCCAGCTTTCATCACTTGAGGATTGATCTTTTTCTGTACCAGAAAATCGATGAGGCAAAGAAGCAGACCATTCCCCATCACTGCATTCAGAACTGCAAATCAGAGAGAAATAAACTATCATTATGTGTTATTTTTATCATATGGGGTGTTAACCAGATGATATGGTTTAATTTAGATCTGTGTCCCCACCAAATCTCATGTTGAACTGTAATCCGAAATGTTGGAGATGGGGCCTGGTGGGAGGTGACAAGATCATCGGGGTGAATCCTTCATGAAGAGTTTAGCACTATCCCCTTGGTACTGTTCTTGTGATAGTAAGTGAGTTTCCACTGGATCTGGTGGTTTAAAAGTGTGTGGCACCTCCCCTCTCACTGTTTCCTGCACCTGCTTCCACCAAGTGAGACACCTTGTTACCTCCTCTGCTTTCCACCACAATTGGGAGCTTCCCGAGGCCCCCTAAGAAGCAGAAGCCACTATGCTTCCTGTACAGCCTGCTGAACTGTGAGCCAATTAAACCTCTTTAAATTGCCAGTTTTTAGTATTTGTTTATAGCAATGCAAGGATGAACTAATACACCAGACATCATGGTATAGAGTGGTGTGCCGATGCCACACATGCTTCATCAGATGCTAATTCAATCTTTAGAATATTAAAAAAGTAAATACATGCAGCAGAGTATAACTTTCAAAACAATATGGCATATGGCAAGTTATGGAATATATCACTTTACTTTTTCTTTTTTTGTTCTTTTTCTTTAAGTGATGATTTTTTTGTTTTGTTTTTAGACTGAGTTTAGATTCTTGCTGTCTAGGCTGGAGTGCAATGGAGCAATCTTGGCTCAACACAACCTCCGTGTTCTGGGTTCAAGCCATTCTCCTGCCTCAGCCTCCCTAATAGCTGGGATTACAGGAATACGCCACCACGCCCGGCTAATTTTGTATTTTTAGTAGACTGGGTTTCTCCATGTTGGTCAGGCTGGTCTTGAACTCCTGACCTCAGGTGACCCACCTGCCTTGGCCTCCCAAAGTGCTAGGATTATAGGTGTGAGCCACTGCGCCCGGCTACTTTACTTCTTCTTTCACTACATTCAGGGTACCTAGATAAAGGTTTGTCATATTTTAGACATATTTCTAAATAAATTTTTAAATACAATTTGGTAATCTTAAATGCCACCTGGAATAAATATAAGTAGACTTACTGTATATCTAACATGACTAAAACAACTTTCAAATTATATACTGGCAACTAATGACATATTTTCTATGAATAAATTCCTACTATTACCACTTAGTAAAAAGTTAACTGTCTTTTTCCTTTTTTTTTTTTCCCAAAGAACTTTAAAAGAAGTGATATTCAAATGCATAAAAAGCAGTACTGGCAAAACTTCACTATCCTTAGGTAGGACTGTAAACACAAAATAAATTTCAGTTCAAGAGAACAGTTAAAGAAACAAAAGGTACACTAAATAGAATTAATAAGGAAGCACAGAAAATTACTTTTAATTACATCTAGCTTTAGCCAATTCGGTTACATTTAATTACCCTTAGTTTTTAAAGAATTAGTCATCTTATACTATCAAAGGCTAAAATATTACTTATCAATGTTGAAAATAAGCCTTAAATGCCCACTCCAACCATATCAACTATTCTGGTGAAGAATCTCCTCAAAGATTTCTCTATGTTCACTTGACTTGGAAAATCAAAAATAATTTTAGTTCACATTTTTGAAAGGAAGTGATAATTGGTAGGACATTACATTTTTTAATGATGATTATGTCATTTGTACATAGTGATTTCTTTTATTGACAGATGAACTCAAAAGATCAAGATGCTATTAACAAACAGCAGCACTAATCTAAGCTCTGAGAAGTTTAATGGAAGCCAAAGCATAAAATCAACTGCCAATTTCCAGTAAACAATGGACGGCAGGGCACTAACATCCTTGAAACGGAAAGCTAAACAGCTAGACAGAGCAACTAAAATGTGTTATTTCAACTGTGCCTGAACCAAAGTTTCTTGTATTCTATACAATTTTCTGTGACCCAAAGAATAATCTAAAATAAACAATTCTAGGCTTACGTAAGTGTCAAAAATCCAACACAGAAAATAGTTTTAAAGGAGCTTATTGAGCTAAGTTTCCTTGACTGAGAATCTTCTAAAATCCAAAGGTAAATTATCAATTCCCATTATATGTCTTTAACAATTAGGGTAAGATTTTTATATAAATTTGTGGCAATTCTTAACATATATATAAAAGAGGTGCTTGCCAGGTGCGGTGGCTCACGCCTGTAATCCCAGCACATTGGGAGGCTGAGGCGGATGGATCACCTGAGGTTGCGAGTTCAAGACCAAACTGACCAACATGGAGAAACCCCATCTCTACTAAAAATACAAAATTAGCCAGACGTGGTGGCAGGTGCCTGTAATCTCAGCTACCTGGGAGGCTGAGGCAGGAGAATCGCTTAAACCCCAGGAGGCAGAGGTTGCAGTGAGATTGTGCCATTGCACTCCAGCCTGGGCAACAAGAGCAAAACTCTGTCTCAATTAAAAAAANAAAAAAAAAAAAAAAAAAAAAAAAAAAAAAAAAAAAAAAAAAAAAAAAAAAAAAAAAAAAGAGGAGCTCATTTTTTTGAACATTTCACTCAAAGTATGATCTTCCAGAAAGATAACATAAAAAAGTCCTCACTTTTCCAGATTAATCAAATAACTCATGGAATATCTCTAAACTTCAATACAAAAGGAATGTCTATGATCAATAATCAAGAGAAGCCTATGTTATGGACTGGCAAACTACTACAGGCTTGGGTCCAAACCTGGCTCTGCTGCCTATTTTTTAAAGGTTTGTGAGCTAAAAATGATTTTACATGTTTATCTTTAATTTCACCTCTTGGTTAGCAAAGCCTAAAATATTTACCACCTGCTCCTGTAAGAAAAAGTTTGCAGACCCCAGGCTTCTATCATTATTACTAATGATACCTAACCTTCAAGGCTAAGGAGACAATTTTTAAATGTATGTCCCCAGCCCCAATCACCACACTAAGCTTCACAATCACTAACTACCCTCTAAGCATTTTGAGATTTTTCACCTTCCTTGTCAAAAGTTATATTATAAAATTCATCTGACAGATGATTTGTTATCTTTTTTTTTTTCCTTTCTTGATTTATCTTTTTTTTTCCCCCTGAGACAGAGTTTCACTCTTGCTGCCCAGGCTGGAGTATAATGGCACAATCTTAGCTCACTGCAACCTCTACCTCCCAGATTCAGGCGACTCTCCTGCCTCAGCCTTCTGAGTAGCTGGGATTGCAGGTGTGCACCACCACGCCTGGCGAACTTCTGCATTTTTAGTAGAATCGGGGGTTTCACCATGTTGGACAGACTGGTCTCAAACTCCTGACCTCAGGTGATCCACGCACCCCACTCTCCTAAAGTGCTGGGATTATAGGCATGAGCCACCATGCCTGGCCTTGATTTGTTATTTTTTAATGCTATCACCATGCTCTCATTCTGGAAACACTTATTTTTTGACTCTTCACAAACTCCCCACATTCAAATCCTTTCTTTTTTTTTTGAGATGGAGTTTTGCTCTTGTTGTCCAGTCTGGAGTGCAATGGTGCAGTCTTGGCTCACCACAACCTCTGCCTTTTTTGGAGTAATACTATAAATGTACTATCTGATATATAAATTGAAATGATGGTAGTATTCAGAATGCATTTTGAGGTGGAATTAAATTTAGGAACACCAATTAATAATTGACTATATAGGTCTAATTTGGAGAAAAGCATGTGAACCAGGGTGTTTCATTTTAAAAGAAATGGGGAAAAAGGAGCTAGACTGTAAGTGCCATTGTGCAGAGAAAGAATAGAAAGTAAGAAAGGATTTGCAACCGGACGTGGTGGCTCACGCCTGTAATCCCAGTACTTTGAGAGGCTGAGGTGGGCGGATCACCTGAGGTCGGGAGTTCAAGACTAGCCTGGCCAACATGGAGAAACCTCATCTCTACTAAAAATACAAAATTAGCTGGGCATGGTGGCACATGCTTGTAATCCCAGCTACTCGGGAGGATGAAGCAGGAGAATCGCTTGAACCCGGGAGGCAGAGGTTGCAGTGAGCCCAGATCGCACCACTGCACTCCAGCCGGGCAACAGAACAAAATTCAGTCTCAAAAAAAAAGAAATAAAAAGTTCTCAAAGTAAAAACTAAAGTACCACTTTGATCCTCACAGGATCCCTCACTGGTATTGACCCCTCTTAGCACTTAAGAGTTGTATTTAAAAAGCAGACAACTATAATTTACTCAAATGTTACTCTACCCATTCAATTGTGAACTAAAAAAATTTCATATAAAGAATGAAATTATAGACAAAATTTTTGCACAAATCCTAGGCAGAAATAAGCTATGGAAACATAAAACCAATCAAAAGCAATCTTTCATTCCCTAACTCCACAAGGTACTTGTTAGTTTGTTCTTTCTGTCATTTATCACATCCACTATAGGAGCCTAGGAAAAAGTGAAATTCTAGATATTTTGTTATCTCACATAATCTGAGCATTCTGGAACATTTCACCACTATAACACTGAACTGTAATGTAATACAGCGACACAAATGGATTTTGTCCAAAACTATAAGGCTGCTTAATTTCATTAATAAGGCCCAGATGGCTATCATTTTTGAAATGTACCTGCCTTTTGTCACTTTCTGGTCTTTTTCCTTAATATCAGGATACTGTAATTCCATGAACTCCCTAGCTTATCTGCAGAACAAACACATTTATACCTAATGTGCTCCTTCCAAACTTCTATAAACTTGAAAACAAGATAAAAAGGCTTGCTAAAATGTCAGAGCATGTGCTTTAAGATCTGTCCCTTGGCTGCATATAGATGTTTTATTTGTTGAGGGCAGTACCAGGTTGTCAGAGAAACTCTTTCTTTGTGGCTTTCAGGTAATCTACACAGAATAGGAAAGGCACTTAATTCAGTCTCACAATAATAAATACATATATCTGTCTTCTTCATAAAGCTAGTGAACCCTGTGGGGACAGGGAACATTATGATTTGTATTAACAGGGCACGTGGAACAAAGTCTGGCACTTAAGAGGATTTCAACAAATCCTTTAATATATCATAGTGAAGTCAACTAAATGGCTAATATTCATCTTACTTCCCAGCAACATCAACAAAACAAGTTGTCCCAACATTTTACCTTAAGTAAGTTTTTCTTAATTTTAAGCAAAGTTAAGTCCTAAGGACACAAAGATTCTGCAAGAAACCTCAAATGCTATAAGGAATGGTCAGTAGATGGCATGCCTCTCTTCAGAGCAGTTAGGTCCAAGGTTAATTAAGACGTGCTAATATTGCTGAAAGGTTTTTTTTTTAAACTCAAGATCTTATCTTCAAACAGTTCCTAAACTTTTCAAGGTGTATTTCAAAAGAGCAGGGTGCTAACCTTAGCTCTTTGGTCTAATTCTAAGTCTGGTAATTATATGCTGCCTATTAAAATTCCCCTTGCAGTTCTAATTTAATAAGGTGGTGCTCTGCTCAGTTCTTGTCAAACAGCTCAGAGCAATGCTACTGGCTGCAAATGCTTATCCCACAGAATGTAACATTTCAGATGTGATTAAGTGATCATTTAGAATTTTGGGGGAAGAAGGCAATCATGAATTCATTAAAATACTTTTCTATTTATAAAGAATACATAATCCATATTTTAAAATATGTAGCCAAAGTTCCTATATCTGAAAGTGCTGGCCGGGCGTGGTGGCTCAGACCTGTAATCCCAGCACTCTGGGAGGCTAAGGCGGATTACTTGAGGTCAGGAGTTCAAGACCAGCTTGACCAACATGGTGAAACCCTGTCGCTACTAAAAATACAAAAATTAGCTGGGCACGGCAGCATGCCTGTGGTCCCAGTTACTAAGGAGACTGAGGCAGATGAATTGCTTGAACCTAGGAGGTGGAGGTTGCATTAAGCAGTGATCACGCCACCGCACCCCCGCGTGGGCAACAGAGCAAAACTCTGTGTCTAAATAAATGAATTAAAATGCCAAAATGAATTTTAGTTATATTTTTAATGAGTTCTACTTTGGTTATTATAAGCACGACCAAAAAAACCTTTTCAAATGTATCAGCTTTTAAGCATTACAAAGCAAAGAAAACTAAACAAACAAACAAACAAAAAAAGTTCACAGACTCAAATTAAGCAGAAGTTCTTATACTTTCCATCCAAACCTGAGAAGACTAGTGTTACCATTTCTCCAGTCTACTAATAGGAGAACGACAATGAAACATCAGGGAGATGAACAAAGGCAAAATGAAACTAAATAGAAGTGTATGGCTATTAAATTTCAACCTTTAGCTGGCACCATATTCAAAAGGCACTCTGGCAACTATAATCCTTTGCAGGGAATTAGGGTAGAGGCACAGGAAACAGCATATAAATGGTGTTTCTGTACAGAAATGCATTAATAGTCTGTACAGAAAACTGTATAGACAGTTTGAAATGAGATCCTAAAACATATCTTAAGGCTTATGGATAAAAATATAAGTACAGTCAAAACAAAGTAGTTCCATCATTTTGGCATACCCTAACCACAGGCTCTGTAGTCAATATATTACTAGCAAGGTAAAAGGACAAAGTTTCTATTAACTATAAATGTTTTTTCCCATCTATACATTGTTAGTTAAAAAAAAAAAAAAAAAAAAAAAATCTATCATTGTTCAGAATATTGACATCACTTAAAAAAATTAAAAATAAGTAAGAACAACAAGAATTATAAATAACTAAGGAAATATCTTAAAACTATCAAAAGTCCAGGGTCCTTCAAGGCTAAGAATACACTTCTACTGCCAACCACCCTCAACAAAGAAAATCAATTTAAAAACCAGGAGCCAAGAAGACTACTCTTTCTCTAGGGGTTGGCAAACAAAGTAACAATTTCATCAACTTTATCATATGACATTATAACTGACCATAAAAAGCAAGCAGAAGAGACATATTTGTTTTGCCCAAAATGACAGAGGTACAATCAAATTAAATGATTCTCCTTAAAGAAGAAAAGTATAACTCGGGGAAAAAAAAAACACAAGCACCTTACATTTTCAAAAAAATAAATTATCAAAGATCATAAGTTTTGTTTTTTTTAAACAATCGTAACCTAGAGGTGTAATATTAGAGACTTACAATTTAATTCAAAATCTTAGGGCTGAATGTGTTTTGGAATTTTGGTATATTTTTCCCAGATTTAGAAATACTACTTAACAATTCCCAGTGGGGTCCAGGCCAGTATGCAGTAATCAAACATAATTACATTTCTGCTGCAAAATATACAAATATTTGAAAAAATACCCTCATTTCAATTCAGATCCAGATCTACTTATCCAGGAAGTTAATATCAGGTCAGGCTTTGTGGCCAATTTTTGTTTTTAGAAGTTTGGATACTGAATAAAAGACTGTGGGCTTGAACTAAAAAAAACTTTACCCTTAGCTTAAAAACAGTGTATCATACAAAAATTACTTCCTAACCCTTAAAGTTTACAAACTTTGACAGTGCAGCAGCAATTATATTTTAAATATTTTTCTATAATAAATTACACATTCTGTATTATAGTCGCTTAATTCACACGTCCGAAGAAAATCAAATGAATTGTTTTATGACATGAAATAAAATACATTCATATTAAAAATGGTAAATTTCTTCCTTTATAGTACTTTCTAGCTAAAAAAAACACCACACAATTATTTCTACTAGCTAATAAAATCTTGCAATTGTACTCTAATTGAACACTGTTAGGGGTGCAACTAGCTTACAGGGATTCAGGAAAATCTGGACACTAGGGTAATGGAAATTCAGCAACTGAACAAAGCAATTCTCCATTTTTTTCTTCTTTCTGTTGTCTTATGGTTTGGAAAACAAAAAGATACAGGTTTTTAAGATGAATCAGAATGTTTATTGTAAGTTTTATGTTCTCTTGAAAACTGCACAGTACAGTGATGAACAGTCTCTGGAGTATCTCATTAGGTACTCAAAGTCCAGCTCTACCATTTAGTTGCTCTGTGACCTTAGGAAGTTATTTAACGCTCTGTGCCTCAGTTTCCTTATTTACAAATGAGGGAAATAATGGAACCTACCACAGAGTTGTTAATGAGAATTAAATGCTAAGGAAAAACAAGTAAAAAATAAACTTAATGATAGGAACAGCCATAGGAAGAACAGATAAAAAGGGAAACAAGTGATATTAGTAACTACTGGCAATGTTAATGAAGTATTACCAATCAATAATTTGTGATATTAATCACTTTAAAAACCCAGACTGGCTTAATGTAGGTTTTTAAAAAATACAATAAATGTTTACCTTACATTTCATTAACTGAAATACCATGAACTAGCATCTCCATCCCTTTATAATAACTAATAATCATTATCTGAACTTACTTTGGTAAACTACTAAAACATCTCGAAAACTTTTTTTGTAAAAAATTCTAGTAAGTAGTTTGCATGTATGGTTAGCATTCAGTAAATGAGAATATTTGGTAAGTCAAAGTGTCTAATTTCCTGATCATACCAAACAGCCCAACCATCAAACATGGTTCTGGAAAGAAACCACTTCATTTACTACACAATCTGACAAAGTACTAGATGTGACCTTACCTATCTTCATCTTTGTCATAGAGTTGGTAATAATCTCCACAGCCATTCCAAAAGGTGTTACCCACTTCTTGCCTTCCTGCCGTGGCTCCACTTTCTGGTGTTATTTGGTTATTTTCTGTTTCCCTTGGTGTAATAATAACTCTTGAGTATGGTGGATCCAAGAACATACAGTCATGCTCTCCATCATATTCTTCACATTTTATTAAGAGGTCATCTGGGCCACTTTCCTCAACTTCCAAAGCCTCCCTCCATCTTTGAACACTTCTTTGTTTTGCCTCATGCCTATTAAAACCTGTTTCTTGGTCCACCTGGCTTGCACTTATCAGTTTTCTAACTTTTGGCCTCACTACCTGTTCAGGAGAACTTCCATGGTTCTTTTCCCTATCATTGGTATTCTGTTCACTACAGATATGCCCTGGACCACAGCCTGCATCTTCAGGTGAATTTTCTGTCTGTCTTTCCTGGCTAGTATTATTTTGCTGTTTCTTTCTAACCACTTCATCTTGAGAAGATCTCTGAATTTCCTGGCTGTTCTGAGGGACAAACTCAGTATCACCAGCAGAACTTTTCACTAAAGGTACAGAATCTAACTCTTCAAACTCATCTCTTACTTCACAGTTAAATGAGGGAACTGGTGGTGAAAGACCAGTGTATGCCTCTGCCTCTCTGTTTTCCAACTCAAATGTTGTATTGACTAATGATTCCTGATATCTACTACCTTCTACGACTTCTGCAGAAAGTTGAAGATGGTCATTATCTTCTCCATGTCTGCCATCTGGATCGTAAGAGTCTGTACGAACCAATGCAATTCCGTTTTGGACACTTGAAGCATTACAAGCTCCTGAAGTATACTCTCCCTCAGAGTGATTATGAAGATTCGTACTGCTTCCTAAGGTACCCCTGCCTTCCTCACTATGATGTAATGCAGCAAAGGACTGACTGCTCTCAATGGTTTGATTCAATGCTGAACCACAAGTGGGAATTTCTGTTTCACTTTTTTCAAATATAGGTTCATTGGGTAAAGACGAATCAACTTGATCCAAAGGATTGGAACCTTCATAGAAAACAAAAGAAAATATATTTTGAAGGATTAATTTAGATAAAATTATATGTAATAACTATCAGTTAGGTGGAAATCATACCAATTATTACCTACTTGCAAATATGAGTAAAATTACTTACCAAGAGTGCTTCTATGCTCCGTAACAACTGGGAGTGCAGACCAGTTACCCTATGAGTTCATTTATGTCAATGTGTAGCCTTTCACTATCATCTCCCTCACATGGCTTTGGTAATTTTCTGTCTAAATCCTAATACCATAGACAGCTGCAAAACACTTTTTCAAAACCACTGATTAAGAAATTTCAATTGAATAAGCCTTTCTTGTCTTTTGGAGTTTGTAAAATGATGAAAAAATAAACAAGCCAAGCTAAATTTAGAGATAAAATTAAAAGAAGAAAAGTTTTATTGTAGGCTGGGCACAATGACCCACACCTACAATCCCAGCACTTTGGGAGGATGAGGGACCACTTGAGGTCAAGAGTTCGAGACCAGCCTGGGCAAAATGGCAAAACCCCATCTCTCCCAAAAAATACAAAAATAAGTCAGGTTTGAAGGTGCATGCCTATAGTCCCAGCTACTTGGGAGGCTGAGGCAGAACCACTTGAACCCACGAGGCAGAGGTTGTAGGCAGCCGAGATCATGCCACTGCACGCCAGCCTGGATGACAGAGCAA